ACATACACATACACATACACATACACATACACATACACATACACATACACATACATGTAGCGGGGATGTATATAACGAACATACATACATACATACATACATACGTACGTACGTACGTACGTACGTACGTACCTACCTACCTACCTACCTACCTACCTACCTACCTTAATACCTTACCTACCTACCTACCTACCTACCTACCTACCTACCCACCCACCCACCCACCCACCTACCCATATATATATATATGTTATGCTGTAGCATGCGATGACATGTGATGGCGGCATGCAGCTGCTCGCCTTCTCGCGCTCTATCCACGGCCTGCGATCGTTGGGATTGGACCTGCTGACACACAAACGTCAGTCGTCCAAGACGGAGCTGGGCTCCAGGCCTGGAGCGCGAGCGGCGCCGCGAGGGTTCCCGTGAGCCGGAGTGGCTGTGCCGACCGCCGGAGCGCGAAGGACCCGGCCGCCGCCGCCGCCTCCGCCGGCGCCGGGCCGGCGGGCTCGCGGACCTGGGCGGAGGAGGAACGCGAAGGCGCGCGCCAAGTCGATGCTGGGCGTCTGGCCAAGCCCTGCTCCGCATGGCCTCCCATGCAGCTCCAATGCAGCCACACTTCCCCCCAGCCCGTCACAACAAAAAAAGAGAGCCATAGAGGAGGCAACAATTGTAAGAGCAGAAGATTTCATAGGCACATGGAGGCACGAGCCAAGCCACTGATGTCCAAAGCAGAAGATTTGTCTGAGCACAGTCTTGCCTCATCCAAAGGCGCGCGGCGAGAGCGGGTCTAGGCTCTTTTAGAGGCCCCTAGGAGCCTAAGCCCTGCATGGCTCGAGCCCAGTGGCAGTGGCAGTGAGAAAGCAGAGAGCACGCCCGCACTTGTCCAGCATAAAAGCGGGCTATGCAGCAAACTCAGCCCTTGTTTTAGTTAGAATTATGCTTGCCCATTTTGGGCTATGGCACCACTAGCCCCACCACCATATGACAATCCCTATCCCAACTTAAGAATACAATCCTAGTAATACTCCAACACCTCTACCTAAGTGCCATAGCTCAAAGTGGGCAAGGGCCAAGGGGTTCCTTGTGGCAGGGGGCGGGGTTGTAGTTGCCTTCTTCTCATAACTGCGTCGCCTAACCCACTCAAAACTGGTTCTGCAAGCCCACCAACTACAGATCCCGCGGCTAGACCACCTGCGATACTTCTTCCTGCTCTCATTGTTCGGCGCCCGAGAGTTCTTAATATGCCTTCGCCTTGTTGTTGTTCTTGTTCTACCTGTTGTTGGTGCGCTTGGGTTATTGCTTGTAGATTGGTTTGTTGCGATTCTCCCGCTCTTTGTAGAACTCCCTTTAGTTGTGCTCGTGTAAAGTTTCTATCTTCGTCTGTGTCAACAAATCCATCATCACCGTATTGCTCCGCAGGTTCTTCGCTTCCGATATTGAACATCTGAGGCCGTGTAGGTGTATCCGCCCTCGCACTTGCTCCTGCATCCCACAGAGCCCTATGAGTAAGATCGTTGTCTGTCGCATACTCCCTTAACATCTGATGTCTTACTATCCTTTCATTGAAACTTCTCCGTTCTACCTTCAATCTGTCTAAATGATCTTTACCATCAAAATAAGAACCTGTATTACTCGACTTGCAAATACTGCGTCTCTGTTAGGAAACGGTTTAAATGCCTTTTCGTTATCATTGACAGGTTTTAGGATGTCTTCGTATCTAGATCTTCTGTGAAATTGTGTTTGTGATTTGGATACCATTATATTTTATATTCTTACACAGAAAATTACATTTTAGAAAGTTATTTCACTTAGTGTTACAAGAGTGTTTATTTTGTTCTGTAAGTGTTCTGTGGATGTTTCAGGTATTCTAGGATTATGCATTTCTGATCTTAATCAGTCAGTCTCCATTGTGTACTTGTCTTTCATCTGTCTTTCTAGTAGTCTGCGTTTAAGTGCTAGGTTTGCAACTCTCGCTTCTCGTGCGTCCATTTCCTTTTTAGGTTCAATAAGTAGTCAATGTTAAGCTTATGAAAGTAGCTCGGATGCTTCATTTACTACGGGATCGTCTAATGACTTGCGTTTTTTTCTGTCGGCGTTGTTGCTTAAACTTATACCTGTTATATAAAACCATTGCTATATACAAATTACCTTGATCTTTTAGAACGAGAATTGAACATCGCTTGACACATAGTATTGGCTTTCTCTTGCTTCGTCCTCATCACTTCTTGGTTCATAGTTCGCAATTGCAACTGAATGAGTTGTGCTTGAGTCAGATTGTCGTAGGATTGCATATTTGGTGGCGGAGGTGGTGGCATAGCCTTAGAAACTGGAGGCGGTGCTTTCGTTACTGGGGCGTTTTTATTTCTTCATTTTTTTCTGCACTTAGCGGTTTTACTTTCACCTTGGGCTTCACATTGTTTTTTCTATCGGGTTTAGACATTATGCCGCTAGGCTTGCCTTCACATTTGTCGGGGTAGGAACATCTTAGCGTTTTCATACTCATAGGTTTCTTACAACGCACTCCGTCGTTTGCTTCGCCGTATCTGTAATCTTGAAGGTTTAGGATCCGGCGGTTCTGCGGTTATTACTGCTTGAGGTTCTTAGACTCTTCTGGTTCAGGTGTTTCATCTGCTTTCACGATTTCAGAGGTTTCTTCAGTCATATATATTATTCTATATATTTTCTAGTCGTTTTTGAACGGGGATTTAGCTCTAGCTAATCAGTCAGCACACTGTTTTCCAGGCTCGAGCCAACAACGATTATTATACAGAGTGGAACATGCAACTGCATCCTATGCAAACTCCTACATCGAATCACCCCACCTAGGCCAGGCGATGGTTTCCATCCATTGGCCTCCTAACTCTCAGCGTCCTCTACTCCTGTTGTTGGCCTTTGGCTCACACCAACTTCTTTCCTCCTTGCGCTCTTTTGTCGTAGTGCTTCAGTCCCAGTGTGCGCAAATGCTTTTCGACTGCAGCTTCCGGCAAAGGTTTTGTACACAGGTCCGACAGGTTCTTGTCGGTGGCCACTTTCTCCAGTTTCAGTTCATTGCGTGCCACCTTCTCCTGAACCCACAGAAACCTTGTTTGTACATGCCTTGTTTGTCCCAGGGCTTGTCTCGAGCATGTGCCTCTTGCTGCACTACTGTCGCTCAGGACTCTCAGGTCCACTTTGATGCCCCAGTCGTGCAATAGGGCTTGTTGGCTTAGCCCAACTGCACCAGCCTTGACTATGGCATAGAATTCGCTCTCGCCAGACGACAGACTCACAGTAGTCTGTACATTGGAGCTATGTTTGATGCAATGCGAACCATGCATAGTTACGATTTCTGTTGTCGACCTCCGCGTGATGAGGCACCCGGCGTGGTCCGAGTCGCAGTACACGGTAAGGTCTTTCTGGAACCGTTGAGGGTGGTACTCGTATACCAACCTAGGCTTTCCACGAAGATATCGCCCGAGTCTTTTCCAGTCAGCCCAGGCTGCCTCGTTAGGCGCCTTCATGTGCCTGGCTAGGCTCTTCGTTGCCTCAGCAATATCGGGCCGGTCCTGTGCCAAGAATGCGGCCCTCATGGTTATCGAGCGATAGCTTCTTTGCATCGCTTCATTCATTGGTGGCATCTCTGATTAAGCTTTTCAAAGCTTCTCCTTGCTTCTTCTTTTCTGCAGGAAGTCTTACAGCTTTGGCAGTCTCCAGACTCAGCTCTCTCACTAGCGCTTCCACGTGTCTAGGGTCTGCTTCGTAGGTAACCTTTCCGGTCTCTGGCTCGTAGCAGATCAGACGGTTCAGCACAACCATCCGTTTGTCGTGGTTCGGACCGATGTGTCCATCACACCGATACTCGTAGCGCTCCTTCAGAGCTTCGTCCACGTAGGCGTGCCCTTCGTCGTCTGCAAGACAGAAGAAATCTCCATGCACCAGAAGTCTAATATCTTCCTTCTCGCAATAGAAGATGCACGGCCATGCCTTTCCTGCCACGAACTCATACTTCTTCATGAGTTCACTGTAATCTCTTTGCCACGTGCTTGATGCATCACGGGTCGCGTACATGGTCTTGAGTAAAAGACCTCAGACTCGTCACCTTCAGGAAGTGTGACAAAGACCCGCCTTGTGGCACGTTCAAAGAAATGGGCTCGACTGATGTCGATCAGTCGCAGAGACAGCGTGCCTCCTCTGCGCGAAACTCGCAGAGTGGTCATCAAGGAACATAACAGCTTTACAGCCTCCAACGGTGGCATTGAGCTGAATAATGCATGCTCCGGTAACATGGCAACGTCCCTGGCTCTTGATCGATCCATTTTAATGTCATTGGAGCACGGCCTGTTTCCTGCCAGCACACAGTCTCGTCGACTTTGCAGTACACGGCCCGTTTCTTTTTCCCAGGATCGAGTTCGGCGCCAGTGGCGTCTATTACCGGCGTCTTCACGTACAGCTCGCTCGCCGTAGGGAATGTCTCGTAATGGTGATCCTCGAAGTTCGGCAGGGCTATGCGGCTATACTCTCGGACCTTGAGAGCAAGCTCAAGATCAAGGTCGACCCGAACCACAGCATGCTGACATGGATTGCAAGGCACGCGGCGTTTCTGTTGACGAGGTTTCGCATCGGAGATGATGGCAAGAGTGCATACCAACGAGCCGCTGGAAGAGAGTGGAGAAGGCCCACCATGGTGTTTGCCATGGCCAAGAAGAGGAGCTCACCTTTGGAGCCACGAGTGGCCATGGGACGCTATGTGGGAACAGCAAGTAGGAACGCGGACCTCCTCGTGATGACGCTCACTGGTGTTGTGAAAGGACACTCTCTGCACAGGAGAGCAGAAGAAGGCCCATGGTCGAAGGAAGGATTCGACCAGCTCAGAGGTTTACCCTGGAAGTGGACCAACCCGGTTGAAAGAGCACCTCCCAACCGTGCGGACATGCCTGAGCTTGTGCGAAGCCCGATCCGAAGGAGTTCCGGGCACGGCTACACCACGTTGTGTCCAGGTTGCGAGGCAGTGATGCTTGGGTTGCCACAGCGAAGCCACAACGACGAATGTCGACTTCGCATCCAGAGAAGCCTCATGGAGACCGAGGAAGGAAAGCAACGGGTGCAACGTGCACTCGACAGGATGGAGAAAGACTATACTCCAACAAAGGCAAGAAGAAGAGAAAGGCCGAGGAGCAGCCGGCCTTGGAAGGTCAACCTGCTGAGGGCGAGATCGCCGCGGAAGAGGCGACTGGAGCGCCACTAAATTGACAGGCCAAGCCAGATGCAGGACGACAGTGTTGGGCAAAGGGCGCAGAAGCGCGAGCAACACGTCGAAGACCTTGACCGAGAAGAGCAGGGCACCGACGAGCCAGAAATCGTCGGAGCAAATCTTCAAGGTGGAGGCTCAGGGTCAGGAGGAGAATGCACCGACCTGTCTTACAAGCAGGTCCAGGAAGCTGACTGAATGGACGATGTGAGCCACCTTGAGAAGGAGTTCCACTCAAGAAGGATACGGTGCACGAGGAAAGAAGCGGAGGTGACATCCAGCCTAGTCGGTTCGCTAGGCGTGGACGTCAAAGCCTCTGTTCCTCTGAACGAAGGACTGTATCTCAGTGTTTAGGATAAGGGTTGGAAGCTTCAGAAGCAGAACGAGGTGGAAGCTTTGTTCAAGGTTCTGGAAGCTGAGAAGCCAACGCTTATGGTGGGACTACCGCCTGATGGACCGTTTGCGGGAGTGCAGAGAGGCTACAACCCTCCAGAAGGCGAAGAAAGCAAAAGGAAGAGAAGTGCTGGAAGCCGGAAGAAAGCAAGTGAGAACCTGCGTGGAAGCCTACAGGTACCAAGTGGGACAACAGAAGTACTACCTTCAAGAATGCCCCAAGCATACTCAGTACCAACAGCTGAGTGAGGAGTCCTGCGTGGTCGAAGGGCCAATGTGCAGGTGGACTGTAAACAAGAGTGGCGGAAGCCTTGAAGGAGCGAGCTTAAAGAAGAGAACTCGCTGGATCACGATTCCGCTGCCTTGGCAGCAGCACTGAAGAAGGTGTGTGCGCAAGGATCGCAAGAAAGAGTTTGGCACAGAGAGCTGTGGTAGCGAAGTTTCACCCGTAGAGGTCTCACCGGTTGAAGCTGCGGACCCCGCGGT